TATTTGTAGTTTTTCTTTGCGGGTTTTATGTGTTGGGCTCACCGGTGGGTGGGTGACGTAAAATGAGCGATGCGGGATGGACTCCAGACGATTTGAAGATCTATTCTCTGCTCCGATCCGTCGTGAGGAATGGGGGGTTGCGTCCCTGCACTTCTGCATCTTAACACCACGTCATGTAGTCGTGCGGAGCGAGAAACGGGGGGGAAGAGGAAAACAAGTTGCGGGAGGATGCATGGATGGAAGACAGTGGACGCCATCTTGCAGTGGGCGACCGGCGTGCTGCACGGTGATGTCAACTCAGTATGCCTCATTGGGTTTTCATTGGAGGAACTGGGGGATGAGATGCCTCGTGTGTCTTTGCAGGAGGACAGTTACAGCTCCCACCGCATCCGCTTACTCACCGCAATGGAGTGGGTACCGGCGGAGAGAAACAGCTTCCGTACTGAATGCGGTGCCAGGATACGCGTGTAGTGCTGTCCGCGCCGAACCCAAATGCATCCCTAAGACAGAAACAGATCTTTATCAGAGTTTATCTTTCTTTGACGCATTTAACGATTCCGCGGAGCAGTTGTGGTCAAGGAAATTGAGGGCGAAAGTGAACAGGACTGACGGTGATAGAAGTAGGGATTGTTTTCCTGATGATGGTAACAGGTTGAGTAGTCACGGGGCATCAGTGTTGCATCAAACAGCTGCACTGGATGTTTTCAGAGACAGTTTCATCTCTGCGGGGTGGCAAGAAGATCGCCCTGACGAGTTCTTTGACAACGTGTGCCGCGAAGAAATTCGAGAGACGCCTTTGGAAGAAAAAAGTTGTGCCACGTCAAGATTTTGAGTTACTGACGGGAGCGATGAAGAGGAAGAAAAGCGGCAGTCATTTCAGTGGTGTGGTGTGCGTGCGTCTAATCGGTTTACCCTTATCGACCCCCTAAATGATCTTTGGCTCTTTGTGAGTTTGTGAGTGGATAAGGGGCAGTTCATATGTGAATCAGTGGAGTTGGCTCTTCTATATATATATATATATATCAATTTATATTTGCGCTTGTTTGCGTGTGTTTTTTCTTTTTTTTACATTTTATTTTATTTTATTTTGCTGCTTTCTTATTGCCACCATCATGCCGCCCCTTTAAAAAAATTATCTGGCTTCCGTGTGTTGTGGCTGGAGGGTGCCTCCTTATCCCTTTTAGTTGTTTTCTTGTTCTCTCTTTCTCTCTTTGTGTGTGTGTGTGACATCTTGAGCTATTTGCGGCACGCAGCCCTTTTCATTGTTGTCCTAAAGGAGGGAGAGGGGCAGCTTTTGTTTATTTTGCGTTCTACTAGAAAGTCTGTATATACACATATATACACATAGGTATATAAACATTCACCGACACACGTATCATGTCGAAGCTGTATCGGGCACAGACGCAACAGGGCCACTCGCGGGGGTTCTTTGAGTACATTCGCAGCGTGGGGGAGTCCAAGTCGAAGCAGGAGGAAGACGCCATCGTCACACGTGATCTGGCCGAACTCAAGAAAACCCTTGCATCAAACAATATTGAGAAGCGTCTGCTCAAAGAGTACGTTGTGCGTATCTTTTATGCGGAAATGTTGGGTGTCTCTGCGGAGTTTGCCCATATTCACTGCGTGAACCTCTCCTCGAGTCCTGACCTTCTCTCTAAGCGGACCGGTTACCTTGGCACGTGGCTGACGGTGGGGCCTGAACACGATCTCATGTACCTTATCGTTTCAAATCTGCAGCGCGACATGAAATCCAGTAGCTTCCTTGACATCGCCGCAGCGCTGACAGCGGCCTCTAAACTAGTGCGCTTGGAATTGATGAATGCCATCAACACGGAGGTTGTGGGGCTGCTGCGCCACCCCAACGCGCTAGTGCGAAAGAAGGCAGTGTCAACCATGCACGCTTTCTACAGAAAGTCCGAGGGTCTTATCGGAGACACAAAAATATTCCGCCAAATGTTATGTGATGCTGACCCATCTGTGATGGGGGCGGCACTTCCACTTTTTGCGGATGTCATTTGCACGGACCCGACGTCTCAACGCGAACTTATTTCAATCTTCCTGTCAATTCTTAAACAGATTGGCGAGCACCGACTATCTCGTGAGTACGAGTATCATGGCATTCCTGCTCCATGGCTTCAGATAAAACTACTACAGATGCTCCCAATACTTATTGGCGACGAACCATCACTTGCCCGGAAGTGTGAAGAGGCACTGAGAGAAGTAATCACACGGGCAGATAATGGGCTTGTTATTGGTTATGCCGTCATGTGTGAGGCTATCCGTGTAATAACACTGATTCCCACCATTCCAACTCTTGTGGAACTTGCAGCTGAGGCAATTTCGAAATTTCTTTCTGCGAGGAAGGCCAATCTACGCTATGCCGGCATCCAAGCTCTTTCACAGATCGTTCGGCTTGACCCAAAATATGCACATGAACACCAGCATGTCGTCATGGCTTGTCTGGAAGAGGCTGATGACACTATTCGTCGAAAAACTATGATGCTTCTTCTTGCCATGTGCAACGAGGACAATGTGGAGGTCATTGTAACCCGACTCGTGAAATCTCTCTCGCAGACAACGGACAAGTATTTTAGAGAGGAATTTACGCGTCGAATATGTGATGTTGTGGAAAGATTTAGCCCTGGTGCGGTGTGGTACATTGAGACGATGAATAAACTACTTCTTTGCGCTGCAGAGCACGTTCCTCAGATGACCATTCAGGGAATTTTGAAACTTATCGTGGAAGGAGAGGGGAAGGATGGGGAAAAGGATGCGGCTTTCCGTACGTTTTGTGTTGAAGCATATTTTGATCTTCTTGAGGGGTCACAGAAAAATTTACCCGAGGCCTTTTGTCGCGTTGCCGCATGGGTGATAGGCGAGTATGGATTTTTGGCGAAAAGAATAAGCCGCACCATGTTGTTGGACCGTCTGTGCGATATGTTAGAGCGGGCAGAGTGCGCCGACACCAGAGGATGGATTATTATGGCTATGATAAAAATCGTTGCCCACGCCGGTGCCATGCCTGACAATGTTGAGGATCTTATTACACGCTTTAAGGATAGCCGTAGCGTTTGGATACAGCAGCGCTGCTACGAGTTTACTGAACTTGTGAAGATGCCAGTGCTCATGAAGAAGGTGCTTCCGCTGGACGGCTGCTGCGAGGAAGTTGATTTGGATGAATCCATGGGGTTTCTCGATGGCATTGTACAGGAGGCCCTGTTAGCAGGTGCCAGGCCATACGAAAAGCGGAAAATACTTCTCGGAGTGAAGGAGGAGGAGACACTCCGTACCGATGCGTACGAATTGGTACGCACGGATGTCGTTAATGAGAACGAACTTGATCCGGAGAACTTTAAAACGGAGGAGCCGCACAAACTTGTCATTCGCCCAGCCGTGAAGCGGTGGGGACTAAAAAATCTTGAGGAAGATATTACGCCGACGGAGGGAAACCCCACCGGTGGTCCTGAGGCATCGGAAGCAACCGGATCGATGGATTGTTTTTCTGAAGGAGCGGTCCTGCACCATGTGGACCCGCATGCACCGTCATCGTTATCGACACCCTCAGCAGCAGTGAATTTGCCGATGCCACGTGAAGTGTCAAAGTCAAGCAAAAATAAAAAGTTTTTAAATGATATCTTTAGTGTAGGCAATAAAAAGAAATTGAATGTGCGAGGTCACAATGGGGCGACAGAGTCGTTGGTACATGCTGGGAAGGGTTCTGAAGAAAATGACGCGGGTTCCCTACTTAGCATTCATATGGAGTACGTCAGAGAATTGGCAACAACAGGAGTTGTGGTGCGAATTGTGGGGAAAGTGGGGGTGGAGAACGTTGTTATTTCTATGAGGGCTCCCCCAAACTGTACGCTTCGCGTTGTCTCATGTTCCGCAACGTCCGCTACGGTTGATGGAACCGCGGTGACGTTAAATAAACTGCAGGCGAATCAACCGGTTGAAGTGGAAATGCAAGTTTTACCTGTTGGATTTCCGAAAGAAGGTCGCGTGCTGGTGGAGATCACTTATCGTAGTGCCGTTCCAGGCGACCCGCAATGTGCCTCGGTGTCAAGGGCGTTATCTGCGAGGGACATTCTACGGCCACCAGCGCAGATGACAACAGCGGAGTTCGGACAAACCTGGGTAGGCCTCCGAGAGGAGTGCAAACTGCAGATGAGTTCTGCCACTCCTTTGACCCCGCAGTCTTTACAAAACCTGCTGATGGAGCGAGCGTCACTGCGTGTGGTGGAGGCGATCCGCAATGAACTCATTACGGCTGCCAAGTTAATTGGCACGGGGAAGCCAGTCTTGTGCCACGTTGACGTTGTGGGTCCCAACGCTGCCAACCTGACAGTACGGGCAGATGACAAGGGATTTGCGGCATACGTGGCACACGCCCTATCTGCACCGTAACACCGTGGCGTGTTATGTCCCGTATATATATATTTTTTTTTTTGGAAAAAAGAAATCATTCGTAACTCCATTCCATCCGGGTATATGACAATGGTTTGAAAGAAACTGCATTAGCGGATTTTTTGTTAGTCATGTAAAAGACACGGAGACAAAGATAGTGTGAGATTTGTTACGCGTATCTCTGTGTGCCGTGAGCCGAGAGTTCCTTTCTTTTTCTTTTTTTTTTTTTTCTCTGTATCTTTGTGTTTGTGTCTGTTATTTGAATGCAAGTAACAAGCAGAGACGCATTTTTTCGCGCCTATTCATATATATCTACATCAATATATATGAATATGTTGGGAAATAATATCGCCTAGCAGTGAAAAAAAAAAAAAAAAAACGAGAGTTTAGGGGAATATCGGTGTTACTCAAGATAATTTCTTTTTTTTTTTTCTTTTTTCTTGATTTCCTCTCCTGCTTTCGTTTGTTTGTGTTTTTCAGCCACATCATTATTTATTTTAGTTGCACGGTATCTTTCAGCTCCCCTTTTTTTGGTGTTAGACACAAGGAACTGAGGAAGCAGGCGGAAAAACAAAAAAACCAACAACATTGGATATTGCGGCAGCTTGTTTTCTTGTTTTTTTTTTTTTTGTGTGTGTGCGTGTGTGTGTGTGCAAGGAAAATGGGAAAGGAACGTTCAATTTAATTTTAATTCTTTTGTAAATCCTCTCATTACGTGCAAGCTGTGCCAGAGACTAATACGTGGCTGCGTAGGTATTGATTTGTATATATATATATATATATATTTATAATATTTGTCTATGTCTGTGCACGGACCTCTTTTGGGCAATTCTTTTGTCGAGAAATATCCAGCACTTTTTTTTTTGCGTGATTTTTTTTTTTTTGTCTTCGAAAGGGGAGGAGGTGGTAGTCGTTTATTTCATTTATTTATTTTGTTTTTCTTGGCTGGACGTCACAGCGGCGATGGCGGAGTCATTGGCCACCGCGTTTGCCCCGAGTGAAACTATGCAGGAGATTGATGAGGAAACAGCGGTGTATTGCAGGTCGCATGACGTGATGTGGCTGGGCTTCGTCCGCGACTTGTTATCGACGCTACGCAAAGCGGCGCATGAAGTGCAGGCAAAGAGTGAGGGGCAGCTGGAGTCGCGGCACTTGTGCGTCGGTGACTTCGGCCAATTCAGCAGACTCTCCACCGCGTTGGAATTGCTGCAGGACTGCTGCCTGAAGTGGGAGGAGTGCCGGGCAGAGGCGGAAAAGGGGTTTCTGGAGTATTACTTTGCCATGCACTCACTCAATTCTGGGACTGAGCCAAAAACAGGGGCGGTGCCAGTTGGAAAATTCATGTCGAATTTGTTTGCCGGAGTTCCTGGCACGGTGGGCGGGGATCGTTTGGCGGAAGAGCTGCGGGTGGAGAGAAAACGGTTGTGTCTTGCAGACGCACTTGGGCTGCCGTTGGAGCTGCCGCGAGGGGGAGACGAACAACAGCTCCCGCAGGGCATGTTAGCTTTGGAGAGGGCACTGAAATCGTTCCGCGTTGTAACGGACGAGACGCTGCCTGGTTACCTTTACTGCACGATTCAGCCATTGCTGTGCGAGATGACGTCCTGTTGGTTGCTCAATGGCATTTTTGCCGACACGCCGCTGCGTCTTATAGGCACCGCGGAGGGGATGAGACTCGCGAAGGAGCGACTTGAATTGCATGCATCCTCGTTGCGATTTCTTTTAGAGTTGGCGGAGAATGAATTTTGCCGCTGCCACACTGCGACGGCGTTGGAGTCGAAAAAAAAACTGGAAGAAATGCTCTTGCGTGTGACCGTCATGCAAACTGCAGCCACCCGAGATGGGGTGGTTGGGCAACTTGCAAAAGAGTGGCGAATGGCTGCCGAAGAGGCGCGAGCGGTTCTCGCCAGCACGGAGAAGACGTTGTTGGGCGTTTTACCGGGGCAACTTATGGGTGAGTTTGATAAATTGTTTCAATTATCACCTCATCGGGTGATGGATCACATTGTGCACAGCTTTCAGCTTCCACTCACGTCGACGGCACCCAACCATGATGTGGATAGGGTGGTGCGGTGCGATGATGTTCCAACGGCCGTCGCAGCTGTTGGTGCGTTATTTGACGGCATGTCGCTTGAGGAAGTGGAGTACCTCCTGCAACCATCTGACCCGGACAACATGTCAACGACACAGAGAGAGGAGGGGACTTTTTTGGCAAAAATACAAGCACACTTTTATCGTTTGTTTAAGCTGCTGCTGCGTGCGTGTTGCCTTCAAGGAGGTGAAGTCTTGGTAATGCTGTGGCCATTCTTTGAGTTGCAGGCATCCCCTTTTCTTTGTTCCGTGCCCCACGCACGCCTTGCAGCAATGCTGCAGCGTCACAATTACGCTCTCTTTGACGCATTGCTGGGGACGCCATGGAGGGTGAAGGCGGCAGTGCTATTGGGCGGCGGCTGGGTGCGTGCAGCACGAGGCCACTTTGCGCAATGGCTGTCAGAGAGACGTGGTGAGGGGAGAGAGTTGTTGCCTATTATTGTTTTCAAACAACTTTGGAGGGAAGACGATAAAAGTGACGTGGAAAACGGCACTCAAAATCCGTTTTGTATTTCGCTGCTCCGGCGGATTATCACCGGCTGCGGCGGCAGGCTGATGAATGCAAAAGTAGCGGTTCTTGTCCCGGCCGGGGGCGCAACAGTTCTTTCCAGGCGCTACAGCGTCTTTCCGATGATGCGCCATGCATCTTGTGAAGTGGGAGGGACGGATGCCGATGAAACTCGGGGAGGGAAAAATAACGTGTCTTGCTTTATGATGACGGAGGCGAAAAGTCGTCCTTTGCTAGTGGCACTGCTACAAGCCACAATGATGCCGGTGTTTTCATACTCTGTGTGTGGTGCCACACCCCTTTTGTTTGTCTCTGACGGTCTCGACAGCAAAAAGCAAATGCACGTATTGGACGCTGGCCTTTTGGCAGGCAATGGGGTTGGATAACAAATGCGTCATGCCTCCCCACCTTTACGTATGGTTAGACGCACGTGACAGCATCGGGTGTGAGTTAGACGGTGGGCGAGATATCGATAATAGTGACGTTGGGGGGTTCGTAGCTGAGGGCCGTCTGGTTTTCGCCATTTTGTTTGTTTTGCCTCTTTCCGCGCGAGGCTATAGGTCTCCGTGTGTATGTTTTTCTTATTTTTTCTATTCTCTGTTTTTGTCTTTACACACACACACATACACACACAGAGTTGGAGACGCTCTACGCCACCATGCCGGTGGCTCCCAATGGCCTGTCTGTTGGGGATTTTGTGGGAGGGCCATCCAAGAAGATGACACGAAAAAAGAACCGAGAAGAACGGCCCTTCTTATTCGCAAACTACCCGTCGCGGAAGGTAGCCATTCGCCTGGCATACCACGGCCACTTGTATGATGGATTGGCAAAACAGGAGGAGACATCCAACACAGTGGAGGCGTACGTGGTTGCGGCGCTCAAGCACGTGCGACTCATCCCGCAGGACGGACCGATTGATCTTGCACGCTGCGGGCGAACAGACAAGGGCGTTAGTGCACTGGGCAACGTCTTCTCACTTACGGTCCGAGCCTCCTCATGGCCCACGGACTCCCCACAGAAACCAGCACTTGACTACTGCGCCATGCTCAACAGCGCGTTGCCTGTTACCATTCGGATCGTTGGGTGGGCGTATGTGGATGATACTTTTGATGCACGCTTCTCATGTGTGGGTCGAACATACCGATATTACTTTTGTCATCGAGGCCTCAATGTGGAGGCGATGGGTAACGCCGCAGCGCGGCTCAAAGGGGTACACAATTTCCGTAACTTTTGTAAGACAGATGTTGTGAACGTCAGCAATTACGAACGTGATGTGCGCAGCGTTGGGATTTTTGCCAGCGAGGCGTTCCCGGAGTTGGTGTCTTATCTTGAGATTCATGCAAACTCTTTTCTTTACCACCAGATTCGCTGCACGATGGAGGTTCTTTTTCTTGTTGGGCGCGGGTTGGAGGACCCAGAAGTGGTCACACAGCTGCTCGAGCGTGGAGACCGCAAACCCGTGTACCCACTAGCAGATGGTACGCCGCTAGTGCTGTGGGATTGCCATTTTAAGAACTTACAGTGGAATATTTCAAAACGTGCATTTATGGCCGTGGAACACGAGCTTCAAGACATCGCGACAGCGTTATTCCTTAGGGCATCTTTGGCGAACTCTATGCGCTCGCAGCTGCTCACCTGGTACAATGGGCATACGGACTCGGAAGGCAAGACGATTATGGCACAACTGCCCGAGGTGCAGGCGGCAGACAGGTGGTCTGTGACCGGATGTGATTGGACCGACAAGCGCACACACGCCAACATGCGTGTGCGACGATATGACTTGTTTGCACTGTCAAGGCAAAGGGAGCACGGCGCTTCCGGGCCCTTGTCAAGTAGACCCTACACAAAACTATTGGAGCGTGAGACCGAGCGAACATTCGATGAGGAGGTGGAGGCACTCAGTCAAAAGAAACGAGCCCGATTTGAAAGTAACATGGAGAAAAAGTAAGATAATTCACAATGAGATTTCTCTCTTGGTGTACTGCCCTCACATATAAATGTATACATTGCTGTTTTTATGATCTTCTATGCTTCTCTGTGTGCATGATTTTTGTGAATGCTCTTGACCAATATGTTTTTCTTCTTGTCCTACGTTCTATTATTTTTTATTTTTTCCACCTTTCTGCCTTGTGGATATATTGCAGGGAAGAGGACTTTGGGTGTAGCTGCGAGGTGATGGAAGGGGGTACAGTGCAGTCTGCCGTGATGTTTCTGCTGCTTCTGCTGTTGGACGGGCGAATATGTTGTGTCTCGCTGGTGGACGGCAAGGTACGTTGGGAAACGCAACTTCCTGGTGGCCCGCTTTTTCACTGTGGACCGAGGCGTCAGAGTAAAAAAGAAAAACGGATGTGGGCCCACCTCCCATCTCGTTCTGCATGTAGAAGCTGTAGGAGCATTTCAACCCGCACGATGGGAACGGAAGCCCAACAGGAAAAGGAACTGGAAAACGTTATCACAGACTGCTCTCTCTTAGTTTTTCCTCATGATGGAACAAGGCACGGAGTCCCTCTCATAAATTGGCATCTGCTTATCGCACCCGACCGCGGTGACAAGAAGGTCACTTGGTGGCCGGTGAATGACGTGATTAAGTGCTGGAATGAGTCTTCATGCTCGGCTCACAAAGTGCTAGAATTGCAGCAACAGGTGACGTCACATACGGAGTTGGATTTCTCTTCAGGAAAGCTGCTGATAAGCCTCAGTTCTCAAGAGGATCATATCAATACTGAAGAAGAGACCGCACCAGACGAGCTTTCGTCGGTGCGGATAATCCTCGAGCGCACGGATCAAACACGGAATGTGATTTTTCCGCCATCGCAACCTCCTTCACATTCTCGTGTTGAGACCCCATCCAACAGGGAGGGGCAGGAGGAGGTTTCCCAGTCATGGTACGCCACGCATTCAACCGTGACGATCGACTTACTAGACACCTCCTTGGATGATGGTTTATTCTTCGACTCGGGGTCGCATGTGGATCATCGTTTGTTTCACATTGTGCAGACTATAACAGGGAATGGATTTACATCTTCTCTGCATATCTCGGAAGGATCGGAGTCCATTGGGAGGCTGGAACTGGCAGACGTAAACTGCCCCTTGGTTGCCGCACAAATAGTCTGTCGAAAAGCAGATGCCATGGCATCCAATGAAGGCAAAACATCGCGGCTAACCTGTCAAGGTATTCCTGTGGTCACTTCCTGGAGTAAGATGGAAAGAATTTATGTTTTTAACTGGAACTTGCAGGAATGCGGTGGAAATGTGCAGGAACTCTCCGGTTTTTTGTATGGCAATAGACGGGTTCTATTTGTCGAGTCTGTTACACCGAAGATTGAATTCTTGCCAGTCCCTTGTGACTCAGAGACTCCTGAAAAAAGAGGAGTGGATTTTCTGCCCTCGTGCACTCTGGTGGGTAATGGATATGGGAATGGAAGTTACGTTGGGGATGACGATGACTCAAGTGAAACGGAGTCTTCCGTGTCAAGTGGTGCTGCAGAAAACGCAATGGTGCTTCACAAAAGGGCCACATCACTTCGTAATGGTGAAGAAAAAGGGGCACTTGTTTCCGGTGACACGGAAATTTCTTTTTTTGATGAGAACTTTGAGATTGTGGCGCTTTTGGGTCGTGGGGCATCCGGCGCCGCACTCCTCACACGGAATCGCCTTACAGGCTTATTTTACGCCGTCAAGGTAATGCTGATGCGGGATTACTTTAGTAAAGGTAACGCGCTTCGTGAAGTGCGACTGCACGCACTACTACACCACAGATACCTTGTGCGCTACTATGCATGCTGGTCAGAGGCGCTCACACCGTGCAGAATACAGCAGTTGGCCACTATTGGTCTCTGCAAACCAATGGGACTTCAAGAAAAGGCTGTTATCAATGGCCCAGGTTGCATTGATTGTGTGAACCAACAACACGGTGTGCTGTTGCAGTTGAAAGACAGTACAAACTGCTTGCTGGCTTCAGAACAACAGGGCATGAATCGCAATCTTCTTATGGCACCACCAGATACGAAAGCTGGAAATAGCACTGGGACTTATCTTGCTGGGGTTGATAGTCCTGAAAGCAGTCTCGATGAATCCCCTCAGAGGCGTGAGGAATGGGATGATGGGGAGGAAAGCAACTCCTCTTCTTCCGTTTCCTCTAACGCATCACGGAATCCTCCGATGGACCAAGTCGTATTTCTCCAATTGGAGTACTGTCAGACAACATTGGCACATCGTTTAGGCTCCCGAATCTGCATTGATCGTGTGGAGAACATTATTATCGCGCTGCAGATCTTTTCAGCGTTGCACTATATCCATAGTCGTGACTGTCTGCACCGAGATGTAAAGCCCACAAATGTTTTTTTGGATTACAATTGCCAGACGATGGGCATGGATGACACAAGCGATGATGTTGACGAAGACGACGAAGACGACGACAGCAATAATAATAATAACAATGATGATGATGATGATGCTAGTGCTGGTGATCAGAAGGAGGAGGGAGGAAAAGATGCTGCTGCTGAAAACACAACGAACCCCAACGGTGGCGTGCAGGACTTTCATGTTGACAGCGATGAGAATGCATGCAGCAGAATGGAGTTGGTGCAGCCGGATCTCGCTCCCGCAATTCCCACGCAATTTTTATCTGCCTTTGAGTTACTGCGATTGAAGGCTTCTGTGGGTTTACTCGCACTTTATTTGAAGCGATTCAAAAGCGCTCAGGATGAATCAGAGAAACGGAAGGTGGCACGTCTTGTCCGAAGATGGCTTAGTTCTCGTCTTGTGCAGGTTCGTCTTGGAGATCTTGGATTGGCAAAGCCCCTGAGCGACCAGCGCGTTGAGGTGGCTCGTTACTTTGATCGCAGCGCGATTAACACCCTCGGTGTGGGCTCTCCTCTCTATTCCAGCCCGGAGCAGTTAGAGGGAGCTCTCTGCACGCCGGCCTCGGATGCATTTTCCGCTGGTGTTTTGCTGGCAGAAATGTACATTGAGCCCAAGACCGTGTCGGAGCGACTATTTGAACTTCAACGTGTGCGTGATGGTGTTTTTCCGTATCCTGCCCTGCTGCGGGAGTATCCGGAACTGCAAGTTGTGCAGGGGCTAACGAGGAGTGACCCAAAGTCGCGCATGACGCTTCGGGACGCAGGCCGGGTCCTAGTGAAGACGTTAGATAAAATACTTATTTTATTTCTTTCGAGCTGATTTACTGCAAAGCAAAGAACAACAACAACAACAACAAAAGAGAATGCTCTTGGGAGAGGTTTTTTTTTTTTTTTGCCGCCGCTACTACCATTGAATATCCCCTGCCTGTTTTTGATTTCCTCCTTGTGAACTTGTTATTTATTCCTTTTTTTTTTTATTTGATTGATGCCTGTTTTTTTTTTTTTATCTTCTTTTGAGTCGGATGCAAACTTAAAAATTTATCGCAAAATAAATACATAAAAAAAAAGACAGGCAGGGGAGGAGGGAAGCAACAACGGCGATGCGGCGTTGGGTGTCCCTCGGTGGTTGGTGCGGCCCCGGCCTTATGCTTTCCAAGTTGGGCATTCGCCCCGTGGAAGAACAGCTGCCGTTTGATATGGCACGGTGCAGCTTTGACGGTCTGCTGGAATTCACCAGGAACGGCTTTGATAACGGCTTTTTTCCAGGCCCTCTGCAGCGGCGGCCTTTCACTCCCGATCCGGCTTCCGTATGGCTTCTTTTTCGCGGCCAGCATGCTTGCATCACACACTTTGATATCAATGCAGATGAGGTTGTACAGGAGTTTAAGAGGCGATTCGATGAATGGGAGAAGATGATTACATGCCCCACCCGTCCAGTCACATTTTTGCGCACCTGCATCGCCGAAAATGCAAGGAACGAAGTGGAATTAGTGCCACAGTGGCACGCGTTACTCCGAGAGAAGAGTGCAGGAAAACTGGATTTTTGCACCGTGATGGTCATGCATGATCAGGGACCTACCACAGAGCGTGTGGCGTCGTTTGCTGAAGAAGATGCCGCGGGGTCTCCTTGTGTGGTGTGGAACCTCGCATTTGACAAACAACTTCCAGTTGAGGCATCGCTGTTCGATAAATGTCACGACGGCTATGCGCAGATTATCCGCGAGATGAATAGGAATGAGGCCTGGTATGTAAGCACCTCGCCACTGCGCCTTGTGTCACCAAAGCCGTACAAAGCTCTTTGTCTAGTGGAGGGCGTTCCGGCGCTTCGTGGATCATGTACCGGGTTTGGAACGACACATTCCGCGCTTTTGGGACGTTGCCTGTACTGCGGCTCCACCAATGGACATGAGGTGGTTCGTGATGCCTTTGACAGCAAAAAACCTTGGGACAATGCAGAGGACACAACGTTACTAGCAAAATGGATCACAAGCAACGGAGACAAGGTAGCCGCTGTGGAGGCGACAGCATTGGAACTTAAACGTGGCGCTAATGAGGTGCTGCTTCGCTTGCAGCAGCTTATCCAAAGTTGAACCATGGATTTTTATTAAATGCTTTCTTTATTTTGTTTTATTTTTTATTTGTTTGCATCATCTATGCATATCTGTTTGTTTGAGCTGTATAACGGTGTCTACGTTTATTATTTATTTATTTATTTATTTTTTATATGTTTAATAAAAGTCCCACTCCCTCGGAACCCGATTGACGTCTTTTTTTTTTTTTTTTATGCTTTAGAGGCCTGGAAGAAGATGATGTCTGGTGGCATGCAACAGCAAAGACAGCGGCAAGCCTGTAGGGCCTCGTGGCTTTTTAAACAGGCGGAGTGGAGGTTTGCGTGGGATCGACGATTCTTTGTTCAGGATGGTCTGCGTCTGGCGTACCGTGTGGGGGAGAATGAGGCGGAGAAGAAGGCCGGCTATGTCATCTCCCTACAGCGCACGGTGGAACCGCCGGGGTCGCATACTTTTCGTGTGTGGCTGAAAGAAGGAGAATGCTGGACACTCCGAGCTGAAACGGAGGAGGAACA